ACTAGGTTAAACCAAATTAAAAACTCGTTTCACGGGCCGCAAACCATTCAATATCAGCACTTCTCTGCGGGTCGCAGGCCACAGGTTTGCACACAGTGATGAGATTCAGCCGGTTCGCACCGGTTCTATAGAACCGTCTCACAGAATTTTATGAGATCAGCGAACCGGTTAAAATTACTGGTTACTGTCAATGTTCTGTTTGTAACAGAACCGGTTGAAAAATATGACTTTTGTGAAGGAACCGGCTGACAAAAGATTTGAATTCCACCCCTGACTTAGATGACTTGACTCACTTTGGGTACTTGACAAATTATGATTCAAATTTGATCTGAGTTTCCTCAACACTTGTGGTGCATAAAGTACTATTATATTTTAAACGGGCTGCAGAAGAATATTCAAAAAAGTTATTTAAGACTATTGTATTGCAAAGAGCCATTACATCAAAATTTGATAACTTGAGGTGTAAAAAACATAAAACTACTGATAGCTTTGTATAGCAACACCCATATCTTTTCAAATGAAATTTCCCATGTCCACAATCTATGGTCAACAATAGTTTTATTTATTTTAATTCGTCCTCTGCAAATATTGTTTATTTTTCTACTAAAGATCTATGAAAAGGATATCTTTGAAGTTATTATGACCTGGATTTGGGAATAATCGAAAAATCACAAATAACAATAATTATTAAAAATGTGTAACTTTGATAAAATGAAATGCTACTGAAAAGAAAATTTGGAAAAAAGTGTGATGTGAGATTTTGGGTGCTCCAGGAGTATGTGTACCAATATGAAAGGAAGTATTTTGTTCACCTACTTTACATGAACTTGTGTAAAAAGACTGAAACTTATGGGCAGGGGGTATATTTACATGGCTACCACAGACAGTCCCCGAACTCGAAATAGAACTGAAATACGGAAAATCGGAATAAAACTATGACCTAATCTGACGCCGAAAACCAATACTGTTTATCGAGCAGCAGCAGCTTGGTGAAAGTCAAACTGAAATATTTAATTATTTCATTTGTGAGGATGCAATTTTGCTAACTGCGCGATAAATTGTTCACTATTTACTATATCTGCAAACAGAAAATGTCATAATAGCAATTCTTGAAGTATTGCTAACCTCAGATGTAAAAACGAGCAATTTCATACATCGCTGCACAATAAAATTGCCAAGAATGACAGTAAAGCGGAAAACAACGTGTGCGTTCTAACCACAATATTTTCTGTCAACAAATTTACCAATTACACTAGCAATAAAAAAAAGTATAAACGAATAAAATTTAAATAAATTGAGTGTTCATTCCGATTTTGAACAGAATTATGCAATTTGTGGTTAAGTACATAAATTTAATAGATGATAAGTTGATTATTAATTGAATAATTTCAAGAAAATATGTTTGAACAATTACAAGAAGTGACTTCAAAAATTTAATGGAGTGATGCATTTGAGATGAAAGACCTGGCACACACCAAATAGCATTCAGGCTGAAATTTGACAAATCAGATATAACCTGCAACAAACAAAAAATATTGGCATCGAAAATTTAACTTACTATTTTTTAGAAATTGGAAACAATCAAAGACCAATCTGACGATTTTTTTCAGACATTTTTTGGTACTCCTGTAGTGTTGTGTACCAGTTTAGGCCATAATTTTACTCCCGTTTTTCATATTTTATTCTATTACGAGTTCAGGAACTGTCTGTGTTAGCCAAGTGAATATACCCATAGGTTTCAGTCCCTTTACACAACTTGATGCAACGTAGGCAAACTAAATTAGTTCCTCCATATTGGTACGCACATTCTGGAGCGCCCTTTTTTTTCTATTTCAGTCACTTGCAACTTGGGAGATCATGTATTTTAAGTTTATTTTGATAGTTGAATCCTAATCCTTCCGGTGAACAAAAGTTTTAGAAACTCTTATGGATTGTTTTGATTGCTATAAGCTAAACACACAGCACTTTGGATTAGACTGAAAGAATACCTGATTACCAAATAGTAGGTCAGTTTAAAGTAGTCTATGACGCTATGCTTCAATAATAATAGTATCAATTCAAATCAGGTAATAGTTAGGCGGATTATGCTTAAAAAGAGTGAAAATAGAAATTTTTCCTGCAATCTCTGAATTATCATTTTTTTTTTTGTGGACTAAAATAAAAGTTGAATTTGTATTGAGAACCATAGTTTTAGGTATTTTCACAACTTCGGACAAGCGATGGACAAGTCGATACCGATATGGGAATGATTACTATTTTTGAAGCGTCTGAAATCTTCCCAGTAAGGGATTGCTGTGAAAACTCTCATGAATTGTTTCGAGTTCGACAAGCTAAACACACAGCACTTCAGATCCGAGACTTTTACGTATCACGGAATACCACATATTTTGGGGTCAGTTTGAAAGACTTATGACGCTATGCTTCAATGTTATTATTGATTTGGAACAGATGAATACACCTTGGAGTTAACAAAAGTTTATAGCAAACTAACACAATGCATCGATAACAAATTTTTAATCTATCGCTATCTCTGAAGAGTTCCCATTTAACTAAACATACATTTATTACATCACTATTGAGAAAACATCCGATCAATTGAACCTATTATCATTTTTTGACAAGTCACCCCCTTGGTGCAATTGTGACAAAATAAACCTTTTCAAACGTTGCCATGTAAACATCTAAACCCCATTGTTATGATTTTTTTGCGCTTCAACGAATGTTGTTTTTTCGATCAGGGATTTTGACAACTCTATAATAACAATGTTACGTAAAGATAGATGAAGATCAAAACAAGACAGTCTAAGGCCATAACTTGTTTTGATTTGATCGACAATGGCCAGGTGGTGAAACTGCTCGAACCAAGACCATGACAACGACTAAACCTAGTGTATGATTAATTAATACTAAAAAAGAAAATACTCTTGTTTTTTTTACGCATCGGTAGTTGTTCAGATAGAAAGATGAATAGCCTAATAGAAATATATTCATCATCCAGTCATCAGCCAGCAATTAACTAGATAGCGATCGGAGTCCGCTGACTTATCAATCGTTCGCAGTGACGAAAGTTAGGGGATCCCCCATAACAGAAACTTCGGTTTCCATTCCTTCGCTCTGACTCAATAGCGACACCGCTTGTCCGATCACTAATCAATTAATAACTCGCTACCTATACGACATAATTTATCCAAAATCAATAGGCTTCTGGTCCAAGATATGATGAATGCACATGCAAATTTGGAGCAGATTTCACCCTCGCTTTCGTGAGATATCGCGTAAAATACGAAAGTGTCAGACAGACAAACAGGCAAATATCTATCGACATACTTACTGATCGAGATTGATAAATAATACCTCTCTTCAAGTAGAATAAATGACCAACAACAGTATTGTTAAAAGGCCGAAAGGACCATACGGTCTCTAAAACAAAACAACTATCCTGGAATCAATGGGATTGACTGTTTACACCAGGGGTGGGCATGATTTTTTGTATCAAGGGCCAAAAATTTTGCCCATCTAGACTAGCGGGCCATGTAAGTGTAACATGAAAGTTACATTTCATGAACAATATTTACAGTGTTACAAAAGCATTAGTACGAAAACAATAAGCCTTGTGTCAAAATAAAATTTGATCGCAATCTCAACAAATTCCTTGAGCTATTTTTAGCTAAAACATCAATTTGGTTTAGTTTGGTTGTGGCCGCATCAGGCGGGCCAGATTGAATTACCCAATGGTCCAGATTTAGCCTGTTGGCTGTATTTCGCCCATGCCAGGTTTCCACTGTATATTTTAACAGTTATATATCATGTTAATTTGTTCATCCATCAGAGTGAAAGCCCAAAACTAGTAAGATAAGATAAGTAAACTTTATGTAACCTGCGAAACGGCTACCAGTGGGGTTCTCCCGTAGTATGCGTACCAGGTTAGGGTCAGGACATAATTTTATTCCAATTTTCCTTATTTTAGTTTTATTACGAGTTCGGGGACTGTCTGTGTTATAGCCAAGTGAATATACCCCATGCACATAGGTTTCAGTCTCTTTCACAACTTGATGTGAAGTAGGCGAACAATATTAGTCAATTTAATATCGATACACACACTTCTGGAGCGTCGCCACTGGTACACAAGAAGTTACTTATTTTAAATAACTAAAGAAGGACATTGTCTACATAATTCATTTCACCCTGAGTGAAGTCATGGAACCTAAGATGCCAAGATTGAATATTTATCCTTAGGAGAGGAAAGCCCATAAGGTGATCTCATGCAAACCAGGGCCTCTTGTCCGATTACCAGTCTATGTCGGTTATGGGATTAGTTTGCCAGTTATTTGTTTCAGATGCACAGAATTGATGGTGGAAGAAGCCGTAACCGACCAGCGGTTACATGAACCCTTGTAGAGAATAGAAGTCCAGCAATCTTCTCGCACATAAATTAGTTAACGGGCTAAGCGTTAGGAATATACTCGCCACCGCACCTCTAATTACTCTGCGTGGGTTCGCAGGTTCGAATCCCATGCAGGGATGGTTATGTGCGAGAGGATTGCTGGACTCCTCGCCGTCGTTGGGTGGTTCACGTAACCGCTGGTCGGTTACGGCTTCCTCCACCACCAAGTCCATGCTTCCGAAAACAAACAATATAACTAATCCCATACCCGACTTGGAATGGTAACCGGACGAGAGGCCGTGGTTCGCCATATGGATAAGCCGTCTTATCGGCTTTCCTCTCCCCCGGGATAAATATGTAAATCCTATCCTTAAGCAACTTGTTTGCCTTGAAAGACACTATAGTTCAAAAACGAAAAAAACGGTACTCCCATTGTGTGTGTTCGGGGAGTGTTTGTGTTAGCCAAGTGAATATACCCCCTGCCCATATGTTTCAGTCCCTTCACACAACTTGATGTAAAGTAGGCGAATAAAATTAGTTACCTCCATATTGGTATACACACACTTCTGGAGAGCCAAAATAAACTTATTTCTTACCACCTATTTTGTTAACTTACTTCCTGGCAGCCTTCAAACCAGCTTCTGCTAATGGTTGAATCATTTGTTCCATCAGTTCTGACGACGCCTGGCTCGCATTCCCATGAAGAAATCTTGCATATACACCCTGAAGATAGAAATAAGGATTCTCGATGAAAAATCAATAATTCTGCTCTAAGTAAGGTATCATCATGTCAGTAACTAAAAGTAGAGCGCTCCAGAAGTATGTGTACCAATATGGAGGTAATATGAAAGTATTTTTGTTCACCTACTTTACATCAAGGGACTGAAAACTATGAACATGAGTATATTCACTTTGTAGGTATATATTTTGGCATATATCATCGCATATGAGCAGAGTTCAGAACTCGAAAAAAGCAGCGCTCGGTACGCTACGACAGTTATAACAGTCTGTGATTGGTTGTGATAGCGAGGATGAATGGATTTTGAGACACTTCTTACCGTTATTGATAAAAGTAAAACATAACAATAATGGTTTTCATTTTTATTAATTTTCTTGACATGTTGCATCATATAGGGTCGACTTACATGAAAATTTTTAGAAATTGACTGTTTTAGGGGTCAGCTTATATTGCGAGATTGGCTTATATGCGAGGTTATATGGTAAATGAAATATAACAGCCGGAGAGTTGAATAGCGGTTATTAACAAACGACTTAAAATAGTTCAACTGAACACTGCCAGAAAAGAGTAATTTGTTTTTATCATCTCCAACTAATGGAATTCAGAAATACAAAAACTTTACTAGTGCGATCGTTTTTTATATAACTGGTATATATACTGAATGAAATATTACAGCCAAAAGGGTTTATAGGTGAATAGCAGTCTATAAAACGGGTACTCAGGTAGTGTGTGTACCAGGTTTGGGTTAGGGCATAAGTTTATTCCAATTTTCTTCTTTTTATTTTTATTACGAGTTCGGGGACTATCTCTGTTAGCCAAGTGAATATAACCCTGTCCATAGGTTTCAGTCCCTTCACACAACTTGATGTAACGTAGGCGAACAAAATTAGTGATCTCCTTATTGGTATACACACTTTTGGAACGCCGGCAAATGAACTTACAATAATATGATTCAACACTGTCAGAAAAGAGTAAAATGTCTTGATAATACCCAACTAATATGAATTCGAAAATAAACAAAACTCTTTACTTGCACAATAGAAGCAAGTCTGAACAATCCCAAAGCTTTGAAGAAATTCCAGTTTGGAGGAGGAAATTGAATTCCACGTATCCTGCAGTAGTGAGAAACTAACCCTTCCTCTCTCATTACTGATGGTAGGCTGAAAAGAAGAATTATAAACATATGAAACAGAGGGTGCTCCCGAAGTATGCAAACCAATATGGCGGACATCGGAACGTAACATGGGTAACAGGGTAGGGTTAGGTGATAATTTTTTTCCAATTTTCCTTATTTTAGTCTTATTATCAGTTCGAACACTAGTCAAGAGCCTCCCGTAGTATTTATACCTAAAATTATGGCCTAACCCTAACCTAGTACACATATTACATTCCGATGTCCGCCATCTTGGTTCGCATACTTCGGGAGCCCCAAACAGAGATTCTGTAACTGGGGGCTTGGCACCTCTAAGGGATGAGGTCGTCTCTAGGTTTTTGTCAGATTATTTCAAGCCATAAACTATATAATGTAAGGTTTATTATGTATAATAGGAAAAGGTAAGATGGTTTAACACTGCCTTTAATCTGATTACCAGACCAGGAATGGTTTGACAGTAGCTAACCAGTTATTGGTCTTATATCAATAAACCCGGGGAGCCATAACCAAGTGAACGTGTGTGATGGCAAGACGAATCTAACAATGGGATTGCACTCAATAATCGTAATCAGCTGTGCGATGACAAGCATGTTCCAAATGCTTGACAAAATGTGGCAACAGTGGTACAAAGCGTCTTTGTTTAGAGACAAAAATTTCTTCTAAAAAGTGTTAAAAACAATGTGATGTAACAATAACAAACTTTACACCTGAGTGCTTAAGATTATTCTTCACATTGTTAAGAGCAATTGTGATGTCGATAATAGTAATTATGATCTCAATAATGCCAATTAAAAAGTTCACCTGATGGCAAAGTAGATTTTAAGTAGGTAATTAACACAAGGCCACTCATGACTTTTTGACCTTTTGTTCGTTTCAAGAAAAAAGTTTTTAAAGTTTGTGTCCTCAAAGATACTGGAAAACACTAGAGGCAGTGTTGAGCAAGAAGTGGTTTGATTGTGAAAAAAAAACGATAGGATTTACATATTTATCCTGGGGGAGAGGAAAACTGAACAGACAGTTTTCATCATATGACAAACCACGGCCTCTCGTCCGGTTACCAGTTCAAGTCGGGCATGGGATTAGTTAGCAGGTTATTAGTTTGCGGACGCATTAGCTTGATGATGGAACCACATTGGCTTCAACTCGTACGAAAACATGGCAATCTCTGACCTCTCATCCAGGTACCGGCCCATGTTAGGTTAGGATGGGATTTATATATTTATCCCCGGGAGAAAGGAAAGCCTATATGACAGCTTAATCATGACGAACCACGGCCTCTCATCCGGTTATCGGTTCATGTGGGGTATGGGATTAGTTGGTTAGGCATCGACTTGTTTTCTAATGCAATTGGAATGTAGTAAAAGGATAGGAAAAGCAGATAAGACGTCATCATCATCCATGACCTTGAGAGGACAGCATCTTAACCAGCATCTTAGGGTTTTTTAAAACAGGGGATCCATTGTCTCAATTATATTTAGGACATTATACATTTTAAGCTTTTCGAAGCTCATTACAGAGAGTATAAAAGTAATCAATCAGAAGCTTCCAATAGCACTTATTAAACAAACACTCTAACTGGCTAAATTAGCTACATGACAGTATGGACTCGAACAGCAGTCGAACAATCACTTCACCAATGACTGAATGTCTATTTTTATCGAAAGTAATTCAGTATTTGTATAAACATTGTTTCACAGATGGCACTTCTATCTGGACTGTAAACTACTTCAGTGCCCTATTTATCTTAATAGATATGAGTCATAAATGATGATTTGAACACTAGAGGAGGTGTTGAGCAAGAAGTGGCTTTGTTTAAAATTTTTAAAAATAGGAATTCAAATCAAAATACAAGATTTATTTAAAAACAAACAAGACAGCTTCATTGTATGTCCATATCACCCAGTTACCATCCCTGAAAGTCAAAAAGAACGCCATATTCTCTACTGAGTTTTTAAAGATTGTTGACAGTATACAAATCAAGCGTTCAAGGCTCTTTATAAAAAGTAGAAGTAACCAATCAGGAGCCTTCAACAGCATTTGAACAAACGCTCTAATTGTTTAATATAATATATAAATTATATAATTATCACAGTGTTTCAAGTATTATCACAGATGGTATAAAAGTAACCAATCAGAAGCTTTCAACAGCATTTGAACAAACGCTCTAATTGACTAAATTATGTCCAAGACAGTATAGATTTGAAGTGTTTCAAGTATTATCACAGATGGTATAAAAGTAACCAATCAGAAGCCTTCAACAGCACTCAAACAATCACTCCGATAATGACTAAATATCTATTTTGGTGCTCCCGTAGTATGTGCACCAAGATGGCGCACAACCTGAACTCTAACCTGTACACATGCTATGTTCAGATTGTGCACCATCTTGGTACACATACTACGGGAGCGCCCCTATTTTTATGAATAGTCCTTCAACATCAGGCACTTACAACTGGATTGGGAAGGTACTAAATAAATAGAAAATACTGAGTATTCACTTAAATGCATTTAGGACCAGCGTTTTGCAATCTTAAGTGTAATTGTTATATTCTTTTTTCCCATTGCAAAATTTTGAATATAATTTTATTGAACAAGGATGTACAACATTTTTTGGTGGTGGGCCATAATAATCAACTTCAGACATCTAGCCGCCCACACAAAAAATTTAGCAGAAAAGTCAAGGAAAGAGAATGCGAATATCGCTCACCCTCACAGTAATGGGTACACCGGGCAAAACAGAGAAAGATATGACCCACGTGAGCGGTTTTACAAACATGAACTGTCGGATTAGGATTTTAATTTTTAATGGGGAAAAAACTGAGTGTTGATAAGGGCCACACTAAATGGCTTGGGGGCCGGTTTGTGGCCCACGGGCTGCCTGTTGCACTTCCCTGACCTAGAAGAATTGGATATTTGAAAATTTATCTTGGCCACGAGTGCGAGAGTCGGATACAAGAATAGATAGATGAACCAGAGAACCGAACGAACATTATGTTTAAATTATCCTGATCGAGTGCATAGGTGATTACAAGTATCAGATAATGAAGTTAAAAACACCTAAATGGAGTGAAACTTATGGGCAAAAAAGGATACTCCTGAAGTATGCGCACCAAGATGTCGCATAACCTGAACCCTAACATGGTACACAACCTGATTTCAGGTTGTGCGCCATCTTGGTGCGCATACTTCAGGAGGTCCCAAAAAAGATAATTATCGCCAACAACCTCTCGAATTATAAGTCAGTTGTCGGCTAAGTGTTAATTTTATGTCATGAATTACAGTTCACATCACGATTATTCATTATGTCCGACCCAATTTTTTATCCAACTTTGAATAAGCGTTCACTACTGATGTAATTATATAAACAACCCATCGACGAAACACTCAAAACATGACTAATATGTATTTTTAAGAGTTTACACTTAAAACTAAAGTACTGCCCACTTTTGGAGTGTTAGCACTAGGCAGCTTTGCTCATATATACTACTTTATACTTGTGTCTAAACTATATGCTACTTGAGATCAACGAATAGGGGGTTTCACTCACTTTTATAATTTAAATATAATTGAGTTTATAATAACTTATTATATACTCAACTATGTGCTAAAAATGGGGAGTTTTAAAATAAGAAAATATGAACTTTTACATATGATATGAACATTATCCACGGGGTAATGCAATTGAGCAATACTGTTAGTACCTCACTTATCAATGCTATATGTTACGACTTTATGTTTTGTTGACATTGTCGTTACTCTTTAAGCCTACATGTTTATAAACTTCAAAAGGCATAAAGTATACATTCCTGGTCACAAAACTGAGTGTTATTAAAATCGGCAATTTTTTTTATCGCCTGGGTGCGCCGTAAGGTTTTTCCCTGATAATTTGGCGCAGCACAAACAAAAAGTATGGAAACCGCTGACTTAGACAATCAAAGTTTTATTAGGTCATGTGCAAAAATCACAATCATGTTATTAAGAGTCACAATTACGTAATGTTCGACACATTTTCCAAAGTGCTTTTGTTCAAACAACTCCACTGTGTTAACAACGTGGGCGTAAGGATTATCAACGATCATGCTACTTCATTTATAACCATTAACAAGGTCATTACATCACCTTCAAGTGGCAGTCTTAAAAGCAATTATCTATTTTTTCTGATTTGATTTGAAATTATTTTTTTTTTTTTTTCAATTATTGGCATAGATATATTAGCAGCGAAAGAATTTCTATGTGTATTTTATCAATTTAATATAAGAATTGTTGATATTTATCCCGGGCAAGAGAAAAGACAACTCAAGCATAATATGACTCTTCGTCTGATTACCATTTCAAGATATTTTAGGTCGTGTATATTTGATTTGCATGAATCATAATATAAATCAGATGTGGATTGAGATCTCTCAATTTAAGATAAGAATTGTTGATATTTATTTATTTCGAGAGAATAATATGACATACAATGACATTTCGCCTGATTAGTGGTTTGAGATATATTACGAACCGAGAATTTTGATGTTTATTTTATCAATTTAGTATAAGAATTGAGGGGGGGGGGGATAGGGAAACATCCATTGCTGCACCACTTGTACATTATGTAACCATGGTACCACTATCAATTCCTTTTGCCTATACATGGGGTTACAGTTACAGTGTACCAGTCATTTTCACGACCTACGTATTTAGTGTACAAATCAATTAAGACGATAAATATAAAAAAAATGGGTACTCCCGTAGTGTGTGTACCAGGTTAGGGTTAGGTCATAATTTTATACTGATTTTCTTTTTTTAGTTCTATTACGAGTTCAGGGACTGTTTTTGTTAGCCAAGTGAATATACCCTGCCCATAGGTTTCAGTCCCTTTACACAACTTGATGTAAAGTAGGCAAACGAAATTAGTTACCTCCATATTGGTACACACACTTCTGGATACTTTACATGAATCATAAGAAATCGTGTGATGTGCATTTCTTCAATCCAGAATATAATTGTTAATATTCAATCTGAGGAAGGAGTTAGCTGATAAGAAGGCTAAATAAATCATGATATCTCGCCCGATTACGATTCAAGATATTTCATGTCATGTGAATTTGATTACGCATTTATTATACATTTTTTGGGGTTCCAGATGTGTGTGTACCAATATGGAGGTAACTAATTTCATTCGCCTACTTTACATCAAGTTGTGTAACGGGACTGAAAGCTATGGGCAGGGGGTATACTAATTGGCTAACAAAAACAGTCCCTGAACTCGTGATAGAACTAAAAAAAGAAAATCAGAATAAAATTATGGCCTAACCCTAACCTGGTACACACACTACGGGAGTACCCATTTTTTTTATTTATCGTCTTAATTGATTTGTACACTAAATACGTAGGTCGTAAAAATGGAATGTAACCAAACAGTAGCATTTGGCATATTACGCTGAATATTTTCACATGGACGTCATACCAGTACAAATAATAAACCAAATTTAGCAAAAAAACGCATTTTTTATCAATTACGTATAAGATGTCATGAACGAATTCACTTGAACTGCTTTGAGTTTATATTATTCCGTATTTATTTGCTCATGATGCATTACTATTATTCTATATCAGGGGTGAGCAAATTACCGCCCGCTAGTCTTCTGTTCCACCGAAGTTGGCTTAATCCGTAAAAGACTAAATGGGATGGATATATGGCCCGAATCACCATTCGAATGGTCTCTTCTGAGCTTCTCTTCTCTTCTGGGCTATTGGGTCGCCATATAGACAATTGGTTCTAAATAGATATGGTCCCTAAAGCTATATCAGTGGTCTTCTTGTGGAAAGCTGTGGGATTCCATAGAGACAGTAGGTTAGAAATAAGGATCAGATCCAAAAATGCCAGCCCAGCCCGACCCGGGCCCATGGGTATTAAACCTGACTCAACCATGACTAATAACCGGATTTGCAGGCACGAGCCCGAAGCAAACCTGAAATTTCATGTTTTATTTAGGAGTTCTTCGAATTCCACACATAGTTAGTATATATTTTTTATAAACATAATATTTATTTAAAATAAAGAGTCAGCGATAGAGAAGCCCGACCTGAATTTCGTAGCTCTAATAGAGATGGATATACAGCCCTAATCATCATTTGGATGGCATCCTCCATACAGGGATATTGGGCTTCCAATAAACAGCAGGTTGAGAATGGAGGTGGATATATTATGGTCCTAATCACTATTTGGATGATCTTCTATTTAGAGTTTATTCGGCTGAAATCATTGACAGCAGATCCAATTTGAAAGAAAAGATTTATAGAAAAAGCAAAAAAAATATTCCCTTCTCGAAGTGACGCATTCCGGTATGTCTTTGTCAATAAATTCTTAGTGAACATTTATTACAGTGAATTAAATTGATATTTATCCCTAAACCATAGTAAACAGTCAGAAGATAGCTAAATAAACAAAGATGATGACAATCGACAATCGCTTATGTCACAATTACCAGATGGCGATAAGTAATGTGATATCACAATCAATTCTGTATATTATTTATGACACAACAAAAAAATCACGCCACTTTCGTGTGAGAACCCATTATTACCACATAATTATTCCACCAGATTGTTTCAAGTAGTTTATGACCTTGTTTCAAGACGTTTATCAAAATTAAAATATTGTAATTACGAATATGATGACCTTCAAAAATGATCTAAACGACCTTCAAATGTCCTTGAAATTCCCAAGGAAGTGATTACCCGCTTAACCAAACATGTTTGATGGCGTCTTTGAGCAATTGTGATGTGATAATCCCTGCGCTAAATGGTCCGTGACATATTTTTCCGGCTTAAGTGCTAATTATTAATGCCTGGCACCGTAAACGAGAGAAACGATTGTGACAGGTTTAAATGATGTGTAAACATAATCTCCTCTAGGTGACACTGTATATCCAAAACGGGATATCCAGAAAAATTGGAAATTGTGCTTTTTCGTTTAAATTGTTCTTTTATATTTATCCTGAGAGAGAGGTAAAATCAAAGTAAAACAGAAAGATTTTTGATCAATTCGTAAAAACTGTGAAAAGCAGGGATATAGTCAAATCATTGAATATCTTAACTTTCAAGCATATATACCTTTACTGAATATACATCCCCCACTCAAAAAAAAAAAGGTTCATTTGGAACATATTCTAGAAATAACATAACTTTTGTGCAAAGTGTCCTCGGTTGCAGAAATCTTTGGGAAGTTTTGAAGTTCAAGTGTTAAATAAATTTTCTTGATTTTAATAGAAGTCAAGAATAAATTTATGATGTTACATATTTATCAAGAGGGAAAAAAAAAGTCGATGACACAGCTCAATCATATGACAAACTATGGCCTCACGTCTGGTTTCCCGTCCATGTCGGAATGGAATTAGTTTGCTTTTCGGAAGCATGGCAGTGGAGAAGATCAACTGGCGGCTACGGAACCACCTTACGGCACCGCGGAGTTCCAGCAATCCTCTCGCACATAATTGCCCTGCATGGGACGCAGAGTAATCAGAGGTGCAGTGGCGAGTGTATTCCTAATGTCTAGCACAATGCGCCACACTACCAAGTGTATGAATTTTGTTTATATTTGGTCACTCTGTTCATTTGGGAAGAAATAATTTACTCTAGTTCTCCATATGTCCCCGGACCATATACTGAGGTAACTGTAACCCCATGTATAGGCAAAAGGGGGCTCCCGAAGTATGCGAACCAAGATGGCGGACATCGGAATGTAATAGGTGCACTAGGTTAGGGTTAGGCCATAATTTTAGGTATAAATACTACGGGAGGCTCTTGGCTAGACTTCGAACTGATAATAGGACTAAAATAAGGAAAATTGGAAAGAAATTATCGCTTAACCCTAACCTGTTACCCATGTTACGTTCCGATGTCCGCCATCTTGGTTTGCATACTTCGGGAGCACCCAAAAGGAATTGATAGTGGTACCATGGTTACATAATGTACAAGTGGTGCAGCAATGGCTGTTTCCCTGTCCCGCCCTCCCCCCACACACACATACACTTTACTATTGCAAAATTTGGATGCCTACTTTGCGATTGATTTAGAGAGTTGGCTCTTACAAACTCAGTAACATGATCAAAATCAACCTTCGTTATTAAAATACATAACCAGGTGTTGCAGATAGATTTGCAACCATGCTTGAATATCTGTCTGAGCGGCTGCAAAGATTACCATTGTTACGTCATCGTTTACTTTTTGCTGATTGGTCATTGTTACAGAAATAAACAAGGATGCTCTGGAAAACATCCATAACTTACTCTAGTTCACCGTAGAGTCCTTGGACCATATACTGAGGAACGCTGTACACCATGCATAGGTAGGCAAGATCTGCAAGCGGATGGCCGAGTGTTGATAATTCCCAGTCCAGGACAACTCTAACTTCATTCTAAAAAGAATAGAAAAAAAAAAGATTATTTCAACAAACAAATGCAGTACTGTAAATTTGGTGCAAGATGGTGCACAACCTGAACAAAGTATGTGTACCAAGTAAGGGTTCAGGTTGTGCGCCATCTTGGTGCACATACTTCTGGAGCGCCATTTTTTTTTTATCGGAACGAGAAAGCAGTTAATGAGACATCTTGTGAGCATTAGTGGTTAGAAATCAGAATGCAAGACCCATCGTCACAATTAGTGCATCGAGGCAAGTTTTGCAATAAAGCAGCCACATTGCCGATTTCCCAACGAACCGTGCCTAAATAATTATCCGAAACAGCTGATCTGATAATAGTAACTGGCTATGTGGTGAGGCGCACCATGCTGAGCGTTAGAAATACGCCACAGCACCTCTGATTACCCTGGGTGAGTTCCGAGGAGTGGATCTTGTGGGGATAATTATCAGAGAGACGATTTCTGTACCCCACATCGTCATAGATAGGGTCCCAGTTAAGTCCATACATCTGAAACAAACATATGGCCAAATAATCCTATACCCGACATGAACTAGTGTAGGCTTTGCTATTGGTGCTGACGTAGTATGTGCACCAAGATGGCGCACAACCTAAACATAGTGTGTACCAGGTTAGCGATATCAGGTTGTGTTCCATATCGGTGCACATACTACGGGAGCGCCTTCCTATTCAGTGGGATAAACATGTGAATCCTAATAATAATCCTAATATCAGCTTTCCTCTCCTCCTTACCATAGTAGGATGAAACATAATATTCATCATTGAATAATCTCCATGAACAATAGAAGCCCTTTCCACATCAGGAGGAATATTGCTTTTCAACCAATCGGCCAACTCGTCCATTTCAGGTATAGTCTTATGCTTTGCAGCTTGGTATTGTCGCCACCAAGTGTGCACCTGTAAAAAATAATATTTATTAATTCAAGATAATGATTAAAATTAAAAAATGCAAACTGTCGAACCACAAAAAGAAGTGAAAAATTATCATGAACTCATTTTTTAAGTGCAATTGTATTTATGTGTTATCGTGTGTATAGAAAGTGATGTTTTTATGAATGAAAAAAAATGAAAATAGATAATGGTCAGAGTGAGCTTATGGCTAGATTCACCACACAATTGGTGAGATAGGATTCACATATTTTTCCCGAAAGAAAAACGGGGAGGCGATCTATCAGACGGCTTAATTGTATGGCAAAACAAGACCTCTCGTCCGGTTACCAGTCCATATCGGGTATGAGATTAGTTAGCCAGTTATTTGTTTTCGGAAGCATGGACTTGATGGTGGAGGAAGCCATAACCGACCAGCAGTAGCATGAATCACCCTACAACAAAATAAAAAAAATCTAGGCCCAATTCAATTTTGCAAAAAATACTTGTTTAATGTTATTACGAAATTGCCTCATTGCTAAAGAATGCGCTTCTTATGGCACCATTACCTCATTTGTTTGCTGACAGATTTAATTTAATCTGTGCTTGAGGCTAAATGATGTAAACCAAAAAAACAGCTTTAGCTTGTGGGTTTTGGGTCAGAGAAAGGTTGCAAGTCATTACATAAAACCATAATCGGTAGAGTAGGTACAACTAGTCAGAGGTATAGCCAGGGAATGGTTTTGGGGTCGCTTTTGAAATGTAAATAAAATAAAAGCATCTTTCTGTTTCACACATAGCAATTTTTCGTGGCTTGAAACGCTTTTTAGACACTCAAGAATCATGAAAACACACGTTATCCGACGTTTGGCCGGAACTATTAGCTGTTTTGATCTAACTTGGTAAATATAAATTTCAGATAAAATTGCTCTTTTGATGAAATGTGGTAGGTATAAAATTTGAATCTTTCATCTGCAATGCCAACCTAGTTAAATTCGATGCTCTAACTCAGCCAAGGGCGAACTACGGCCCGCGAGCCAAATCCGACCCGTTGGATATTCCAATTTGGCCCGCCTGATGCTGCCACAACCAAACTAAAACCAAATTTTGCTGTTTTAGCAAAAATAATTCAAGGAATTTGTTGGGATTGCGGTCAAATTGAGTTTTGGCATGAAGCTTATCGTTTTCCACTTTTGCTTTTGTAACACTGTAAATATTGTTCATAAAATGTAACTCTCATGTCACACTTACATGGCCCACCAGTCTAGATGGGCAACATTTTTGGCCCCCGGTGCGAAAACCTTGCCCACCACTGCTCTAACTACTGGGTTATAACGGAGAATAAAAAAGATGTCAAAGTTGAATCAGGTTTTTAATTTGTTCCGAACCATAGGTTCAGCTTTTATGATTATATAAATTTATACATGAAGTCCCTTTACAATTTCAATTTTGTTGTGAAGTCAGTTCTCAATATATCTTAATAACTAGGTTTGTTGTTTTTAATCAGTAATTGTTCAAGTATTTTTACTTCATTTAATACATCCGTGAGGGCCAAAACAATATATGATATTGATAAATTATTAAATACCCTCCGCAATTTTAAAAAATTTTAAGACTTGGACCTATATTATATTTAAAATCAAATATTAAAAAATATGTATAAGTTGAATTGCGTTTAAAATTTGTTTTGTCAAACCGCGAGATCAGCTTTAAGGATTAAGTTAATTTGAAAACAAACTTTGTCAGGCTGACATTGAGTAATTACGCCGTGTAATAGTCACGATCGTATTAAAATATATTTCCAGAAATTTGCTCGAAGCAAGATCACGTGAACTTATTCAAAATAAGAATAAAGTGACTTGATAACAAATGAGGCGATCAATCACTGAACTGCTGATGAGTATATAATTTGAAAATGATGATAATATTATACTCTAGGAGATAGAGTGAATATGGCGGTCCCGAAGTATGTGCACCAAGATGGCGCACAACCTGAACCCTAACCTGGTACACATATTGTGTTCAGGTTGTGTACATACTTCTGGAGTTCCGAATTCACTGCTAAATCAATACAAATTGATATAAAAGCGCAGATATAAAATGAAGATTTCAAGTTTTCAGTAAATGACTGGGTATTACACATACACAACAAGTTCTGTAGGCATATTAGATATTATTGAATCCAACCAGCTCAGTTCCAATGAAGGACCTGGCTAATTATTGACTATCACATCGGATGAGAACAGAAGGGGCCTAAGTCACATTTTTGCAAAATTCAATTTTTTCAATATTTTGGAGTTTTGAGCCAAGCTCTACAAGGTGGTGGTCCTGAAATCCTGAATTTCTCAATAATAAAAATTTTAGCTGGACTTAGGACTGTAGAAATTAAGAACAGAATGGGCCTAAGTCCAGCTAAAATTTTTAATATCATGAAATTCAGAATTTCAAGACCACCACCTTGTAGAGCATGGCTCAAAACCCCAAAATATTGGAAAAAGATAGTCCCAAGTTCCAATATGATGGGCATGAACATCAGAAATGAAATGTCCGAAACTTACATCCCTAAAAATTTCTTCAGTGCAACTCAGGCCTAAGTCACCTTGTTTTACTTTGCATCCCATACAAAAAAATTCAGAAGTTGTTGAGAACAGAATGGGCCAAAGTCCATTATGGGGTTAAAAATGCAGGAAGGAATTGAAGCTGAAGTGCCAAAAAATATTGATTACAAAGATATTCTCATCCACATTAAAATAACCAGAGTTCAGGTCTTCACTGAGTGTGAATATCTAGAAATTTAAAAATAAAAAAATTCAAAATTGTTTTTTGCGTTTTTCTCAAAACTCAAAATTGTGACTTAGGCCTGTTCTGTTCTCATCCGGCGATCACATTTCTGATAACTGCCTGGGTTCGCAAGTTCGAACTCCAATAATTATGTTATTGCCGCTGTAGAGTGCCTATGATAATAGGATTATCATTTTTATCAAATCACTTCGAACAAATGTAAGTATTTCACTAAATTGGATTATGGTATATTTGTTTACAAATTAGAATAGTCAAAAAAATTTCCCAGAAGCCAATTGAGAATATAGAGTGATGTCATTCACATTTATTCTCTGACAACAAGATGGCAATTTTGATTTAATCATTTCACTTAACACAAAAGTTTTTTATGATTACAAAGAATTTTTGTTGGACAATGATACACTTTGATCCAACAAAATTTTTCCCAGAAGCTAATGGAAAATCATTCAGATTTCTTCTCTGACATAAAGGTTTCAATTTTGATATGATCATTTCATACAGGGTGTCCCAGAATAAATGGAACCTATTAATTCGATCACCAATTTTGTGAGTTTCTTTCATTTTAGGACACCCTGTAAAACACTAAGTTTGTTTTCATATAAACAGTTTTTTTATAAACGCTGCAAAATAAGGCTAAAGAATAGTTCTATTCATATTTCAACCGTGAAACAAGATTACAAATTTAAATGAACCATTTCGCACAATCCGATGTTTGTTTTAATGTCAACAAATTTTTTTCACCAATCTAATCTTTTCATATCTCAATCTTTTTTGTTTGTAAATCGTAAGTTAATTTTCAAAAGTGGAATGAGATTAAAAATGAATAAAATTTTGATTATGTCGCTTCACACAATGATATGTTTGTTTCTATAATAATTCCTTATTTTTGTGTGAAAAACTTCATAAAAAACTTACAATTAATTTTTTTATATGTGGCCCATCGAGCTAAGCGTTGGGAGTGATCTTGGCATTGCCATAACTGGGTAACTAATCCCATTCCAGACATGGACTGGTATGATACAATATGATACAGAAAACTGTTTTTTTTTTAAATGTTGTCACGACCCTCAATCCATGGCTACCCGAGTCTCAGTTGGGCACAGAATAAAAATATGCGGGATTTCTAGGACTAGCATTAAAATTGTCTTTATATGAACAATAATTCCAACGCAACTACCCACGAATGCCTGAGAGTATAGCACAAGGTATAATTCACAAAATACAAAGTTACCATAAACGGTAGATTGAATCTGTAATTTAGAAACATTTCATTTGTATCACAGTTCATTGAACTGTTTCAAGTCTCGAGTCAATCATTATTTAGTGGGTGCTCACAGCAAGTGCTTTTGGTATGATTTTGTGATTATGCTATGAAGGAGGCTTGGTTCAAATCCAATCACAATTATGAAGATTTGAAGTCGGTGGTATCGTCCCTTTTATAGCTCCTGGTCCCCTTTCGGAGGATTCTAGCACTAGCCACCTGATTATCATTCCAGTGGTATTTAGAGTGTTATTTCAATTGATGGATTCCGAATCCCATTATGTTCAAACAATTCATGCTCAAGAATGTGAAAACATCCTGTGAAATAACCTCATCAAGCAATAAAACTTGGAAGAACGGGCCGTTTTTCTGCAAATGGAAATGTAAAATCAGTTTCGCGGCTGGCATTGTGGCCCTATTTAAACGATTTGTGGCACCTAACTGGGAACGGCTGTTCTATGTGATGTTGGTAAATTATGGGTTGGCATTGCGAGGTTTTTAAATCACTATTAGTGGAATCAGGATGTTTAACAGTTTATTAACTAAGGCTATACACAAAAGCTTTTCTTAATAAAATGAAATTTTTCAAAGTTATGAGCTATGGTTTCGGATCTGAGCCGTTTTGGAGTAAAAACATCAAATCTAGATTGAAATGTGTGAAATCTAATAAAGATCAATAAAATTTTATTGTAACAAAATAAGAAAATGGGGTACTCCCGTAGTATGTGAACCAAGATGGCAGACACTGGAACGTAGTATGTGTACCGAGTTAGGGTTAAGCCATAATTTTATTCCAATTTTCCTTATTTAAGTTCTATTACGAGTTCGGGGACTAGCTAAGTAACTTCCGGAATATTTGTACCTAAAATTATGGCCTAACCCTAATCTGGTACACATACTACATTCCAGTGTCCACCATCTTAGTTCACATACTACGGGAGTACCGAAAATGGATAGGCAATCTGAA